CATTCATAAACATTTTAAGTACTTAGTCCAAATGAGCAATATATTTATATATATTCGTAACAATATTATGTAATAACAGAAAATGTCATAGCACTAATTTCAAAAGCAAGCAGTTCGTTTTTCACATTACATAGTTACAATTTATGATACTGCCAAACCACCACATGGAATCAAAATTAAACCACACATATCCGCAGCTAACATCGACCTCAATATCATATCACCTTACCGACTTCTGTCTTCGCTACCGTGGGAGATGGTGAAACCACAGGTCGATCTTACCCTCACTATACTCAAAAAGTCAGAAATAAATCCCTTGGTGTTCCAAGAGGAATACAACCAGTATAACAGCCATAGATGCATTTTCACAGACGGATCCTAGGGTGATGGCCAAGTTGCCAGGGCTACAGTCATTGGATCCAAGACTGTCTCTTCAAGAATTCCCGACAACATTTTCACTGCTGAGGCCAAAGCTATCTTCACAATTTTGACCTATATTAAAATCAGAAATATTCCAAAACCTTCATCGTTTTTACAGACTCATTATCTTGCCTTCAAACACATAAAATGTTACTTCAAGTCACCCTATCATCCTAAACATTTTAGAACTTTACAACGATCATTCTACTGGCCAGTGTGACATCGTCCTCTGCTGGTTGCCGGGTCACGTCGGCATAGCAGGTAACACAAAAGCCGATGCTGCAGCTAAAGCAGCTCTTGACAAGCACTTATCTCCACTGCTGATCCCGTACACTGATTTCAAACCAACTGTCAAAAGGACCTCGAGCACAAAAGGTGGGACACTAAAACAGGAAGAAATAAACTTCATGAATTGAAGCCAACAATTGGTTATAACCACTTGTCAAGACGTGATGAGGTAGTTTTAGGACGATGTCGTATTGGCCACAGCCGGTTTACTCACAACTATCTGGTGAAAACGGATGGGGATGGACCTCCCATGTGTGTCTCCTGCGATGAAGTGATCACCATCAAGCATATACTGCTTGACTGTGTGGACTTTTCGACTGCAAGGGATGAAATTATGATGCGAGAAATCTGAAAGATCTGTTACACGTGATAATTACACCGGATCAGATAAATACAGAGATGAAATACAATAGTTTTGACATACACAATGCTCATGTAAATTGCACAGAAAACTATTCAAATCAACGTGAAACTTTCAACAGCTTGAACAAAAATGCTTGAAATACCTTTGTATGGTTTACATGTAATAACTTACATGTTTACATGAAATTACTTCTGTCCATGTCTAAGGATTGTTTGAATTACCAACTGTGTTTTGAAACAAACGTAGTCACTGATTTCAGTGTTGTAATAACACTGACATGTATATATTATGTGTCGATGCAAAGGTGCGTGTTGTTACTATATATTCGATTAGGTAACACTATCTACTTTAGATTATGAAAATTAAGCTTTAAATTACTAGCTTTATTTTTGTCTAATCTATTCGAACTTTGATGTATAATTATTTGTGTTTACGATTCATTATATGAGTGAGTGAGTGAGTTAAAATATTAAATCGCATCGGCAATATTACAGCCATATAGCAATGAAAACAAGGTAATCAATTTAAATAGCTGTCGACAACGGACAGTAAAACCAACTAGACTATCACAGATATATACGTAAAACTGGTAATTAAATCTAAAATACTTTAACTATAGAGGACGATACAATATAAAAACAGGCTCTTCATCGCCAACAACCTAAGGTAGATCACCATACCAGGGTCCATGGGGACTTACAGTACGTTTGCTACCTGCATGGACCTTAGCTGGCGATTGTAGGAAACGGTTAGCCGAATTTTACAAGATCAAATATACTACGTTTTAGAAATGTAAAAAGCTTAAATTTAACTTTGAAAGTTTTGGGAATTACGTACCCTCTCAGGAGGACAATACTTTTACGATACTTTAACCCCCTTCGAGGATACAGCCACTAACAATTGCAGTTACTAATTTATAATACCATGTTTAAAATAACACTTATCTATTTACTAATCATTTAACAAATCTAATTCTTTTTAAAATGCAATAATTAAATGAGAACTAACATTATTAAAAATATAGTTCGTGATTTGAAATAATTATCCCTTGTGATGGAATATCCAACACAGTCAAGCAAGACATGCTTGACCGTGATTCTTTCATCACAAGGGATGCAAAACGGAGGATCCTCACCTTTCAGTAGGTACTCATGAGTATATATTGTGTGGCCAATCAAATCTGGACTGACAACCAAAGTAGGTGTAACCAGTATAGGGTTTTATTTCATGTAATTTATTGATACCTGCCTGGTACTCCCACTTCTCCTGCATTAGATCACGGATATAAGATCTGATGACAGCTTTATAATCAGAGTATGGAGTAATAAGTGGTGTCACAGATTTGTGCTTGGCAGCAAGATCGGCCATTGTATTTCCAGAAATGCCAACGTGGCTGGGTAACCAACAGAGGTTTTGGCTTTCATTATATGAAACATGGCAACATAATAATACCTAAAAGGTAAATTCAAACTATTCTACTGTTTGAATTGTTTGTGTGTCCTTGAAATTTCGTATATTGTTTTGTATTTATTAGGAAGTTGAAGAAAATGTGATCTTCAGTAACCTCTAACACATTACGTCTAAGCCAATCAATGTGCATAAAAAGCATTTTAGTATCCACTCCCAATGAAAAGATAGGTCTGGATCCTTGTGTTGTTTTTATTTACGACAAAAGTGAATACAATTTGTTTTGGATTTTCAAAACTTCAGGCCATTTTCATTGACCCATTTTTGCATTTTGTTAAGGCAGAGTTGTAGCTGCCATTATATTGCGTGCATGTATGTACCAGGACATGAAATACTGAAATCAATGAAAAGGGACTCATCAACACAAATGTTCAAGACGTTAGTGAGGCTGTTAATTTTGATGCCAAAAAGTGTGACACACAGGATGCTGCCTTGAGGAACACCCTTGTCTTGGTGGAAATAATCAGACAATGTGGAACCCTCCCGTACTTGAAAGTGTCTGATGCTTAAAAACTGAGATATGAATTGAGGTGGTCTTGACCCTCAATCCAAATTCATGTAAATGTTTGAAGATACCATGCTTCCAGGTTAAATCATATGCTTTTTCTAAGTCAAAAAAGATAGATACAGTATGTTGTTGGTTGACAATTGAATTTTTGATAAATGATTCCAGACGCACCAGATGGTCAATCGTACTTCGCTTTTTTCGGAAACCACATTGGAGGTCACTAAGGAGGTTATTGGTCTCCAAGTACCAGACTAATCGATTGTTGACCATGCGCTCCATGGTTTTACAAACACAGCTAATTAGCGATATAGAACGGTAGTTTGAGGGATCAGTATGATCCCGACCAGGCTTTGGTATAGGGAAGATAATGGTATTGTGCCAAGAAGGAGGAAAGTTTCCGGTTGTCCAAATATCATCAAATATATTGAGTAGTGTTTCAAAACTTTTATCAGGGAGGGGTTTTAAAAGCTGATAATGAATATCATACGCTCCTGCTGCAATGTCGTGAGCCTGCCCCAGGGCAGTACGTAATTCATGAAGAGAAAAAGTTTCATTGTAATTCTCACAATTATCAGAGTTAAAATTGACTGATTTCCTTTCGTGTTGGGTTTGGTATTTCTGGAGCAGAGGGTTATAATTTGATGATGAAGAGAGGTTCATCACGTTTCTTTGCAATTTCAACTTTATTTGTTAAAAGAGAGTAACCATCTTTGAGATGGCGAACACCAGATTTTGATCCGTTGCCTTTAGTCTTTTGAATCATGTTCCACACCTTCGACATAGGTGTGCGAGAGTTGATTTTCGACACATGTTTCCTCACGACTGGCGTTTAGTTTGTTTCAAGTTACATCTTGCCCTGGCTTTTGTCATTTTAACAGCATTCAGGTTATGCACAGTAGGGCGTTGTCGGAAATATTTTTCCGCCTTCTTCCTATTTTGTCTTGCTTGTTTGCAGTTTGTTTGAAACCATGGTTTCTGTATGTGCGGGTTTGGAGGTGACTTAGGAATGGTTTCGTCTCCAATAGCATTTAAGACGTCTGAAAATGGTTCCATGGGATCAGGAACATTCCTGAAATTTTCAGGTTTGATTTTTCCAGAGCAGAGGGTTTTGGACAATGGCTAATTGGCCTGAGTGACATTCCACCCTGTCGAATACGGTTCATCCACGGGATTGATAGGAGTAAGAATTGCTGGGAAGTGGTCACGTGAGCAAAGGTCATCATGGACCACATAGATGCATAGATCAATATTTAAGAGAAAATCTTCAAGAACCTTTCCCTTGTTGCTTTTATCTGTACTCCCACATATTGGGTTATGGCCGTTCAAGTTAACATTTTGAGCATGTCCAAAAGTGTTTTGTAGTACCAAAGTTTGTGGAAACATTCAGTGCACAGGACAAGGCATGACCAGCCGATTAGTAGAATCGGGCCTATTCTACCACCCGTCTAGGCAAAGTTAGGGTCGAAGTGGTGTGTTGGATTATTGAACTATAACTACCAGATTCCCTTTCTCTGCCGACACGGGGTTGCACAATTTTGTCGCCTCTTGCGACCAGCAATGGGGTGCTGTGGACCTATTTGACCCCGGGTTCACTTGGTGGACGAAGAACTATTAGCGTTACCCAGCACCTATCACGAGGATGTTGTTCTTCAAGGGTGCCTCATTATTAAGTACTTGAGGGTAGTTGGCCTGTACATAAATTGTAGCTATGTCATGTGAATGACTGATTGCTTGCTTTTAAAATTTGGTGCTAATACTTTTTCTGTGTGTAAATAATTATGACATGAATAAATATGCATTTTTAAAAAATCAGACTTGTTATCTGTATGCAGACTTGGTCTCGTGCTATATGGCTGAAATAATGCCGATACGACATAAAACTCAATTCAACAACAATGGAAGTGACTGTGGGATTGAGCTAAAGCTGATTCATTAAGAATATGATTGTTTCAGGATGTCTTACAGTGATGGCTAAATACTTCGAAAAGATGGCAGAGTATGGCAGGATGGGTTGATAGTAAGTATCATCTAATCATACACAATCATGTTAATATGTCTTATCTCATGATTGAGTGTAACTCAAGAAAATAAATGTGTATGTTGTCATAATGCAAACACATGACCGAAACATAAGTGGAAATATGGCATCTACTTGGAACCCTTCTGTTGTAAAGTGATTGTTCCTATTACTGTACATGGTGCATATATCGCATACATGCTTAGATAATGTTTTCACGGATAAATACACATTTTCTCCCACATTCTGTGGACATGTAAACCGTTTGTTGTTTCATCTTCGTTCCTTACAGGTTGCTGTGACTGTGAAGAGGTAGCAACAGCCTTCTCCTCTAATTACAAGGGAACTTATGTCTTCTTGATACACTTGGATGTCAACCTATTTTCTTCTAAACTTAAACATAACGAGACTAAAAAGAGAAAGTTGAAAGAAATTGAGAAGAAAGTATCAGCATTAAGAAATACCTCAGGCGGTGAGATCCTCGTTCATCTGCAAGGTCAAGACCAAGAAGATAGGTATCTTGGGCACTTTGACAACTTTACTGACGCTTGCCTGAAGAATCTAATCCCTGATGGACAACTGTTCACGGATGTTTACAGACGTCAGTGGTTGTGGGATGTTTTTCCTCGTTTTGAGAGTACCCCTGCTCTTCTCCTCACTGTAAACAAAGCACGGTCTGTATGTACAGTGCATTTTTACACGAAGGTCGCATCGGATTGTATGATTGAAAATGTGTCGACCGTTGGTTTCGTCTCTCTCTTGTCCAGAAAGGAGATCACAACAGCGACAGAACCAACGCTAAGAGGAATCCACAACTTTGAGAAACGACTCCATGAAAACAGACACATTGAACTTAAAAGTGTTTTCACGAAGAAAGATCGAACATTTCATAACATTTCCTCGTTTGTTGATTACATTTGGACTGATCTGAGATTCAGGGAAAATTTATGTTCCATGTCAAAACTTGAAGGTGGGGGTTCTTTCTTCGTGGGAATTAACGAAAGAATTGGAAGGGGAACTTACGACTCAAGGGAAATAAATCCAAACGGTTTTCCTTGCAACTGGAACGTTGACGAGTTAAAGACGTCTTTGGATGATAAACTAGAGTGTGACGCATCCTATCAACAACCAGACGGTGCTCTCACGTCTGTCCCCACCAGTCTCATTGAGGTTACACTGTATAACTCTCCTTTACAAATCCAGACTAGTCCTCACAATTTCAAGATTTTAGAAATTGCAGTCGGGTATGCTGAGGGCATTGTATTCTATAATAAAAAAGGCCCTGAAACCTACACCATTGACGAGAAGGGAAACATATATAGAATGGAACATTGTGAATGGTTGGAGAGAATACAGTCGTTCAGTATAGTTGATAACAAGCACTAACATTTTGAACACCATGTCTGTCTACGACAGTGATGAATCTTCATTTTCGCATCCTTCATCTTTCTCTGACCAAAGGTTTAAGGTCATAGAGGGCACTGCATTGCATTCTTCTCGTGTTTCAGGGGGTAAGCATTGCCTTTTGTTAAAATATATTTTACATGTATGTTTAAAGTATAAAACCTGTCCTATATGTGTTTGGTCATATATTCACAGACAACAAAATATAATTCAAAATAGAACAAGAGATATGAAAAACAAGAACATTAGTACTAGTTATGTAGCATAACGTTAATATAACGTCAAACAATTATGATATTTTAAGTAGGTGTCTCCTATATCGGTTTCAGGTTCTGAAAACAATGGCAAAGCATGTAAGACAATCGCACGTCAGTCCCTTGGAGGTACGCCCAGTAGAATTCATACATGTTTTTGCAGGATCAGTTAACAATATCATCGTCAGGTTAGCAATCTCGGTTTCGACTGGGGCCTACTGAAATGTACAGGGTCTTCAACTTTATAAATATGTTTTACATTATTGTAGCCAGTCAGTGGGCGAATAGGGCTTTATGGATAAGTGTATGGGAAATTCACGTATTTCATGTTTTGTTCTACACATACTATTATGTTGTTGTTTGTTCAGTTATATTTCCATAATGTTATTGAAAGTCTTGGAATAATGGTCACGATCATATGAGGGAGACCCTGATTAGTTGATGGTATTTTCCATGGTGTAAGTGAAATCAGTAGGGCAGGTAACCGCATATATTGCGAATGTGGAGGATGTAGTGGCACTGTAGTCAAAACTGTTGGTGTAAAACAGGAAATGACTGAAAAAGTATTGCACTTAACATGCTGATTAAACATTTTGTTTGTTTGGACGTGTATGTTTGTCATTTTCATGCGTTCCACCACGTTTTCGTGTTTCTATTTAAGATACTGGAAAGCCAATGGAGGGGTATCTATCTACAGTATTCAGTTGCAGCTTGTTTCAGAAGGACATTTATGCCGGTATACATATTCCTACAACATGTATTTGAAAGGTTCAGCTTTTACCTCATTGTCCACCCGAACATGAACTGTATCAACTCTTCCCGTGGCTTGTGTGCCAGGTTGTGTGTCTGCCTGTCATAAATGGCCATGTTATTTACTTAAGCCACTAATAAAATTTTGCAATTACGATCTCTGGAAAAAAATAAATCTTTAAAAATCCCACTGTGTAGAAAATCAACATTTGTTAGCAGTTTGTTTTGGTTTAAAGAGCAGAACATGCATTTTTAATCATGTTGCAACATTTAGATACCGATGCTTGACCTTGACATCTGTGTTACGAAAGTAGGTTCTTGTGATTAGAACATATCATTTTTTTATTTATACGTTTTTTACAGAGGGGCATATATGCCTGTAGGATGCTCTTAAGACACTTGAATTGAAGATTCACTCCCAAATCGTTAGTATTGAACTTGTGAAATGCTTGCTGAAGTGTGACACAAAGAAATGTATATCCTCTTAGTCCACACAAGCTGGTGACGATGCGTCCAACTATATTTAATCAGACATGTCAGTGGCTCTGACATTTGCTACATTATATTGCATTAGATTGGTTTACAACCTAGCCTAGTCTAGTCAAACGTTCGCTCGTCACGCTGAAGAAAAAAGTGGCATAAAACTAAACTCACTCACTCACTCACCTTTCTCAACACTATGCTGTCTTATGCTTACGCTACCGATACGTCGCAATAGTCGAAGTGATATCATAAGAGTGCTATATAGTTTAGAAACCATAATCGGGTTACCTGCAGGTGATCTCGTATTTACAAACGTAGTGGCTATCAAGTCAAGACTTCAGTGCGATTGGAAGGCTGCTGCTTCGGCAAGTACTTACAAATCTTAACTTAGTCATAATAATTGAGTAAGCTATAGCCACAGTATACTAACACAAAATTGGTGTTGCAGGTAAAGTCGTCATCTTCCCTAAATGTATGCACAGGATGTTGGCAAGTGAGTACCCAGAGATTCTGTCGGTACTTGAAGAAACATACGGACGGGGAGCAGTTATCTACGTTGGAGGGTCTTTTCAGTGTATATTTCCAAGACATCCTCAACGATTTCGCAAAGTTCAGACGAAGTTGATATGTGACATGTGCATTTTTGCAAACAATAAACCAGCTATCCTACTCACTGTTGCAAAGGACAAAAAACAGGGGGATCATTTAACTGGTTACAATTTGCAGATGAAAAGAAACTTGGACGAATGGATAAAGAAAACATTGGTTGAATTCAAAGCCTTGTCTGTAGTTGTGACCCCTGACGACTTTAGAATTCGAGGACATTTCAAGCGAATACTTTCCTATACTGAGACACAGTCGCCGACAAAAGTTCTTCCCTCAACTTTGGGAACAGTGATACTGGCTATGGAAACCTTTCTTCGGAAGCTGGCAACCTGCGAGTTCGTTCAACGATTTTATGGAGTTTCCGAAGAAACCGTATATCTTGATGAAGACTTATTTGAAGAATTCATTGAACTGATGGAAGAGGAAAATAGGAAAACTGTGTATTCCAAATGTTCAGACTATACAATGCTCCTGACTTGTGAACTAGGTTACAGGTTAGCTCTGATTGGCCACACATCCATCCATTCAAAATCAGAAGCAACGCGGGAATTTGAACAACTAAGGTAAGATTTTGATCTATATATCGTCGCCTTAAAGTCGTGAATACGGTATATACATAGGCACAATATACATTAAATATGTTGCTTTGTGTAGTGTTTTCGTTCATGTCATTTGGCCAATACAGGACACAACATCAAGCAGTCTTCGCCGTTTATTACCAGCCGACCACTTCAGGGATACAGACGACGCGAGCGTTCATGAACTATGTGTTTTTACAGCATACGGGGAATGCGGTGGCCAGGTTGCTACAAGAAACAATATGCTTGACAGCAGATATAAAGCAAACAAAATTGTATATTCTACACTCTGTTTTTTTAAATCAACTAGTTGGATTAAAGCATAGAAACTAACTTCCCAACTGGCTCAGTTGGATTTGCTAAACATGTTACTTGTAGTAATGGTAAACCAGTCATTGTAAGTACTTCTAAACTGTCTCTAAAGTTGAATATTGTCGACATGTCCTTAGTATTCAGAAATATGTTTGGCAAGAGCGAAGTAGCCGCATGTCCACCTTTTCTTTCAAGCCCCAGAATCATTTCCCCACCTTGGGTAAGATAGATTTGGGCAAGAGGTGGCTGACTGTGTGTATCATGAACCCCCTACTGATGGTATCACTGCCCACGATATCAGGTACTTCAACGTCCGGTTCTGAATTGAATATTTGAAAACATAGTCAGAACAGAGCAGTCTTGCTGAGTGGGGCACATGATCCTGTATTACTTTTGACAATTTACTTGCACTCGGATTTCTTCATGAACGAGCTTTAGTGTTCTCAAATCTAGTACACGTGAAACTTGCGTCTTTACTTAGGTGATAATATTTCCTCTTTTTCAGGAAAAGACATGACCAGTGCGTTACCATATTGAAACAGAACGCATAATTCATATAGATAGCATCATTACAAAGTGTATAACGTATTCAATGTATAACTGATGTTAGCAAACAATGTACATTACGTAAGGATTATAAATAACATGTCTGTGACATGAGTTACCCAATAACCGCCCCTAGCCTTCATAACTGTATAATTGCTAATAGTATGTAAGGCCATTTCTGCAGATGCTTGTGTTGCAAGTAACCATACCAACATTACTTCCCTCTCGTGTCATCAGTGAATGAGATGAGATGAAATGCAGCTGTCACGAAGGGAAGCTAAATAACATAATCACTAATTAATGAAACCAATTGCATAAATTTCTGCTATGTTTTCAGAAAAGCACAAAACCTGTCCATCTCGATCACTTACGACAGGAATGTCGCTGATGAGAACTTGGAAGAGGGCGATGTGCTCTTGTCGTCGTGGAAAGGGGGTGTAATTCTATTTCGAAAGAGTAAGTTTCGTTCATTTTCTAAAAGTTATATACTGCTTAACAAACAATAGTAAATATACTCTACAACAAACAATGAAAGAAAAGAAAGAAAGGCAAAATTAAAATAAACACAGCTGATGTTCATACAAAATTAATACCAAATTTGAATTCCTCATGTCTGTAAGTTGGCTGATTCAGGCAATCAGTGATGGCATATTCTAAACTGTGATACTTGTCCATATCAAGCCCTGTAGGCTGTAAGTGTTTGTCAGATTTTACGGTGCCTGATCGATCTGCCTGATGGTATGGGAAATCGATCTCGAAAGGGTTTATTTTTAAGAATGATGGTTGCTTATAAAGAAAGAAAAATATCATAAGAGATGAAAAGTTGTAGAAGAGTTTTCTTCTTCTATCTATAAATAGGTAAATAATACAATACACACCAAACTAATTTCAGTAGGTATAGTAAATAGATCTGAGTTTTGGACAATTATTCTTGGCAATTTGGCGGGATATAGGATTTAAAGGGGAGTATCGATACGTTTGTATATTCCTGAGTTAAGTCACCCGAGTGAGTTTAGTTTTACGCCGCACTCAACAATAATTCAGCTATATGGCCATTTAAGTCACCTGTGAAGGTCTGGGTTAGAATTGATCTTCAATAACCCAGTCTTGTCGTAAGAGGCGACTAACGGGATCGGGTGGTCAGACTCGCTGGCTCAGTTGACACATGTCATAGGTTCCCAATTGCGCAGATCGCTGATTTATCTTTTGTGTTATGTCAATTCATATTTTCAACATTAACCGAGAGTTCTATGTAACACACCATGGCTTATGTCCCTTGGAAATGACGTCATTGGTGCCTAGGCGATAAACGAATGACGTCGTTAGACCTTATTAGACCCATTTCACGTGGTGCAGGTATAGGTGTGGTTCTTGTGTCTCGATGCGCAGGCTACTGTTTTAACCCACCTGTTGCCTAGTCGTCAGCTGGCTTAGTCCTGCGGATGTTACAAGCATGAAAATTGGCAGATATGTTGCTTATACTATGAAAATAGGATACAGATAGGGAGGCACTGAAAATTCAAGATGGCCGCCATTTTTCAAGATGGCCGCCAATTTCCACTCACAGTTACACCGTCAGAGACAATATGCATGAATTAGGGCAGATATGATGCTTGTTCTTTAAAGATAATATACAGATAGGGAGGCTTTGAAAATTCAGGATGGCCACCATTTTCCACTCAAAATTACACTGTCAGACTTAGATTCAATGTCAATTCCACAATTTTCATACAATATGCTTGAAATTTGGCAGTTATGTTGCTTGTACTATAAAGGTAATATACAGAGAGGGAGGCATTGAACATTCAAGATGGACGCCATTTTTCAAGATGGCAGCCATTGATCACTCAAAATTACACCGTCAGAGACTTATATTCAATGTAAATTGCACAATTTTCATACATTATGCATGAAATTTGGCAGTTATGTTGCTTGTACTATAAAGATAATATTCAGAGAGGGAGGTATCGAATATTCGAGATGATTGCCGCCATTTTCTACTCAAAATTACACCGTCAGAGACTCAGATTCAATGTCAGTTCAACAATTTGCATACAATATGCATGGAATTTGGCATATACATTTATGTTGCTTGTACCATTCGATATATATCGGAACATTGAAAACCTTAATTGGTCACCATTTTCCGTGATACTGGGAGTCAGCGTAAACCTAATCCAGAATCCCATGAATAATACTCGTCTGGGGATTTCTTCACTTACCAACAACATATGACCACATTGTTGGGCACAGTCTCCACCACAAAGACACAGTGCAGTGCACTTTAGGGCAGCTTTGAGACACTTGCATCTGTCACAACATCCTTTGATGCAGCGACACTTCAACAGTTCTTCGACCCCCTCCGGGGTGTAGTGGTTAGAGCGTCCGCCCGGAAAGCGGAAGGTCGCGGGTTCGATCCCCGACCGCATCATACCAAAAGACGTTAAAAAATATGGTACTTGTTGGTCCCTGCCTGGCGCTCGGCATTAATTGGTACAACAAGCACTGGTCGGCTCGGAGTCAGTATAATGTGTCTGAGTGGGGTATTCATGCTTCACTGCGGCATAGTATCTCAGTGGGTTAGCACTATAAAACCAGCTTCAGTCTGGGCTAGTACAAGCAGCCGCACATACACATACAAACGCATGCATGTCGTCATATGAGCGAAATATTCTCAAGCACGACGTAAAACCCAATTCACCTCACCAGTTTTTGAAAGGTCTTTGACACGTATGGTATTGTTGACCATAAGGACTCCCACATGTTGGATGCATTGCGTTGCCAACCCTATTTGGATGGAGCAGGCAGATCAGGACAACGGATGATTGACTGGCCCCATATATGTCCTCCGTCGAAAACTGCTCTCTTAACATGTTCTTTGAAAGCTGCAGATGTTAGAGGTATATTTTCTATTGCTCTACCCTTCGAAGGGAACATGTACTTTCTTGCTTCATTCAGATTCACATGGTCACTTGTTCCATCATACATCAATATTGTGAAAATTTCAAGTGTGCTGATCAAATAATATGTAACTTGATCATGATTTTTCGGACAGTAATTCAAATGCATCAGTTGCCTCCTCCAGATGAAACCAGACTTGACAAGCTTTCTTTTTACCACATCCACTGAAGGAAGATACAGTATCACACCCTGTGAAACTGTGGAAGAGAGGGAGACCAAGTGATTTCCTTAGACCTAATGAAACGGCTATTTCATGCGCAGGTATGTAGTGGAACTGTTTTCATGTACCAAAGGCAAGCCATACTTCTGAGATATCAAGAACTGCTGCTGATGAAATGGCTAACACCACAACATCTGTGTCCACTGTTCTTATCATAAACATTTGTTAGCTTCTGACAAAAGCAGTATCATCCTGGTATCTGCTTCTTCATGGCTGCATGGTAAGAGATCTGAAACATCACATGGCTTATTTGAGAGAGCTGTTTCATTCATAGTACTGATGATCAGTTTGTCAGTATTGGTTTTCATGGCTTCTTTTCCAAGAAACTGGAACAATTCTGTTTTGTTGTTATCACTTCTAAGAACCTCTTTCCAATTGTGAGGAATGAAGGAATGTGGTTCAACTCGCCTTCTCTGTCCATGGCCTCTCCTACTTCTTGCACTCGCCTTTAGACTATCTGTATTGGACACAACCCAGACAATATCAAGTCTTGCTGGTTTTCCAGATACTTGGTAAGCACTCCCTCACTGAAAGATGAAAATATCTTATGTTCTACAGGTTTCTTCATATTAACAGGGGCGGTGGGGTAGCCTAGTGGTTAAAGCGTTGGCAGAAGACCCGGGTTCGAATCCCCACATGGGTACAATGTGTGAAGCCCATTTCTGGTGTTTCCCGCCGTGATGTTGCTGGAATATTGCTAAAACCGGCGTAAAACCAAACTCAATCAGTCAGTCATATTCACAACTGCTACTCCATCTAGTATTGTTACTTCTTGTCTGTTCACGGTGGGACAGGAAACATCTACCAGACACTAAAGAAGCTGTGATTTAACAGATGATCAAAGCATACCAAGATGAGAGAGTAATGGTGGACAAGTTTGATTCTCATGCTTGAAAAACTCATCTAAATTGTCTTCTCTAGTTTGACAGGATATGTAAAGGCAGACAGACTACAGTCATTCTTTATGCTGACAACTTGCATCTGTGAGGATGACTGTGATTTTGTTTGAGGTGATGACAAAAGTGACAGTTTATTCTTCTTCATAGGTTCTGAAAGTGCAATACCTTTGATGAACCGTTCCTTGACAAAGTCTTCGTATTGATCTTTCCCAAGGCTTTGAATTTTATGCAAAGTTTCTACAACAGCTGAGACAGCAATGTCCCTTGCTGATATTACAAGAAGATCATGTCCATGCTCAAGAAAAGGACTCCAAACTCTCTGATTACATCTTTAAGAGCACTAACATCTGTGTAAAGTGATTCTCGCCTTCCTTTACTCTGTTCATGGTGTGAAACAGAAGAAATACTTTGAACATTCAAAGAGGCATCAAATTCTTCAAGAATTCTGTTCACTTCTGGACCGCCAACTGTCCATCTTCTTAAGACAGATGTATTCTCTCTTGACCGATGGCACCTCCGTCACCTTCTACGCTTGCATTATTCTGGTCATGAGCATGATCCAGTGGGATTGTGAACAACAAAATTCCCTTTCTTGAACTCTTCAGGTGTGCTTGGATGAATATGACAGAGATTCTTCAGGTCTCGAATATGCACTGGCATCCATCTTGCATAGTTCGTATGGTCAAAGGAAACATCCACTGTCCATGTCATAATCTCATCCTCTTGATTAATATTTTGAGAATTTGAATATCTTGTGAACCTGCTGCATTTATTTTCATAAGAGAAATATTACTCTTATTAGTTATTATCATGGACATGATTTGAACTTGTACACCTAGATGATTTTGAAATCTGAAGCTAAAATTTTCCAAATAACAGTGACATAAGTTTGTTTATAAACCATTTTGTCTTTAGAAAATAATCCACATATGGCTCTTAGTTAATTGGTAGTGAAATGCCATCAAAACTGTAATTCAACAAACATTTTCAACAGAAGCCCCCCTCCATCTAAAGAAATAAGATCAGTGGAAGGGAAGTATTATTACATGTAAATTCTACATAGCCTGTCTTACCATTATTTTAAAAAATACCAAGTAATCTGAACAATGTAAATTGGGCAATTTTTTGTTTTAGACAATTCTGAAACTATACACCAATCAAAGAGATATATAATGTTTGTCTTGTCAAGTATTTAATGTCCCTGCAACTTGTTAGTGATGAAACCCCTAACATAACTAACACAGTCAAAGGAGTTTTACTCACCATTCATGTCTCCTCAGCAACAATGAACATTCTTCCTGCCATGTGTGTCACATCAATATAAAATTTTCCAATTAAATAGGTCTATTGGGTAGGGTTGGGTTGGGCTTTACGTCACATCGGCATTATTCCAGCCATATAGTGACGAGAACGAGTCTGCATTGATATACATTGTAAGTACAAAGTCAAAATAAGTTTTGTTTCAAAGACACACATTCATTACATTGTCATATAAAAAAAGAGAATGTCAATGCACTAAACTGATTTAAACATATTTATTCAAGAGAATGGATTGGGTACAAGTTATGCCAACTTAGTGAAACCCTCTCCTATTTACAGTGCTTACATGCAAAAGTGAAACAAACTATATGTACTGGGATAGAAAGATATATATACAAAATGATATATACAATACAAAGAATACATGAATTAGTTAGATCATACACTAAACTGAAAAGCTGGCAATTCGTTAGTCACATTACACAGTTACAATTTATGATATAGATCAACTTCCCTCAGGTAGTTCACTATCAGATGAGCGTTCACGCGGGAGAACATATCTTTCAGATTTGTTGCATCATAATATCAGTCCCTTGCAGATGTTAAGTCCACACAGTCAAGCAGAATATGAAAACCTCATCGCAAGTGAAACATATGGGGGGTCCATCTCCATCCGTTTTCAGCAGCTAGTCATGTATAAACCGACTGTGGCCAATACGACATCGTCGTAAAATTATCTCATCACGTCTTGACTGACAACCCAAGTTGGTATAACCAATTGTTGGCTTCATTTGATGGAGTTTGTTTCTTCCTATTTGAGTGTCCCACCTTTTTTGCATGAGGTCCCGAGTATAGCTTTTGATAGTGGGTTTGAAATCACTGTACGCGATTAGCAGTGGAGATAAGGGCTTGTCAAGAGCTGCAGCATCGGCCTTCGTATTACCTGCTATGCCGACGTGACCCGGCAACCAGCAGAGGACGATGTCACATGGGCCAGTAGAAAGGTCGTTGTAAAGTTCTAAGATGTCCAGGATGATTGGGTGACTTAAAGTAACATTTTGAAGTGTTTGAAGGCAAGATAATGAATCTGTAAAAACGATGAAGTTTCTTGAAAGATTCTGCTGTTGAATGTAGGTCAAAGCTGAGAAGATAGCTTTGGCCTCAACGGTGAAAATGGAACTGCTGTCGGGAATCCTAGAGGAGGCAGTCTTGGATCCAATGACTGTAGCACTTGCAACTTGGCCATCGTCCTTGGATCCGTCTATGAAAATGGATCTATGGGTGTTATACTTTGAACGTAACTGGTTGTATTCCCTTTCAAACACCAAAGGGAATTTTGTTGTTCACAAGACAAAGAGGGCTTATTCTATCATTGTAAGGTAACGTAACCTTGACTGATGACATAATATCAAAACCATAAGAAAGGGGAGATCACTCTTATTTCACCTCATTTCTAGTACTTTCCAAACAACAAATAACATTGGCTCAATATTTCACAATATTTTTTGGAGCTTAATACAAAAATAACAAACATATTTTCGAGTGCCTCCTTATCTGAAACATGTTAGAATATTTTCTTAGTATTTTAGCTAAAATCTCACTTGTAACATGAAAATGCACAATTGCATACAAATCATGCCATTATATTCTTGACTAGCTGTGTGGTCAGTTCTACACTGTAATGACGTTGCAGTTTTAAAAAACGTATACATTGTACTAAATGTCTTACCAGGTAACCAAATTGTATAACATTCGGTCGACCCTTTCTAACAGTATTTTTCTTCAAAAAATGAAACGTATATGCACTACATCTAGCTTGCCATCGGTGAATGTGCCGGCATTCTACGTTAGTTACTAAAATTCCTACATAAATCGTACGATATGTCCCTCCTTTTCCACCCTCACGTTGATATCGATCCAAGTACATCACGAAGATAAATGCAATTTGCATTTTTAAACTCTGTTTTGAAATTCGTTTTTCTGTGATATCATCCGCTCATTTTAGATCAAATATACTGAAAATTACATGCATCGTAAATCCCGTGAGTTTTGACACATTACTAAATCACCATTCACTGCGTTTTGCGTAATTTATAGTATGTCTTAATTCAAATGTCAAATTTTAGTGGGAGAATTGAATTTAAAAGAAAAAGACGTATCATTGTGATCAGCGGTAGTTTTGTTGTTGTATGATCGAATCACCAATGCTCGTTCTGAAACATTGTTGATGAACCGAGAATCGCTGAGAATGTTAGGAAAGTACGCAAACCAGTATACAGCCATATTACAGAGTGTTTATAAATAAAATCATGTCACATGTTATGTCGGTTATGTTTCGCCTATAAAATCAATTGTATGATTCAACACCATCTTCCTTACACGAATCCCTGATTCCCCCATACAGTTCAAAATAAACTGACATTTGGATTTTGTCACCAATTCGATTGGTTTCAGGGAAATCGAACGAATTATATCAGATGCCGTACTAGAAAAGGACCACTTGTTTCAAATGTAAACAAAGCCAATCTCAGATTTTACACTGTGTATCCGTTCGCGTACTTGTTGTGAACACTTGCTTATTAGTTTTAGAACATGCATGGGAAAGGTATCGTAGCAAGTGATAGTTAAATAAAATAGGTGTATTCCCATGATTTTCTAGATTCATCACAACAAAGCATGACGCCATGACTGACGCAAACTCACGCACAACGATGACGGTACTTCTCTTAATTTCTGACTATTTTCCTTGGTCACAATGAAAACAAAACGAAAATATCGACCAGCAGACTGACATAATTTTTGGACTACTTACGTGCCACATTTATGCATATACGTTGCTTGAAATAACAATAATTTCCTTCGAAAACTCCGGCTTACTCGTGTCAGTGAACACGCCATTTTGAAAAAGTCGCGTCCCGATAAGGATGTCATACGGACGTCAACATTGTTATACATATTTGGTATTTTCATTGAGGTGATGTTATGAATGAAAATACACACGATCAATCTATCCTCCTTCTTACATTTTCTGTTGTAAAGGTGTGTGTGTGTGTGTGTGTGTGTGTGTGTGTGTGTGTGTGTGTGTGTGTGTGAGAGAGAGCAGAATGTCTGCCATTTTGTTTTAATGACGTTATCATGTGTGACCGCATATGTGTGACCTTTGTGTGACCTAATCGACTGTTGAACCCTAAAGTCCCATTTGGGAGTCCCCTTCCGATCCAGGTGTGTGTGACCTTCAGGTTGACCTTAGTGGGTTGTGATTATTTCTTTGCCTACTCGAGTGTTCACACAGCAAAATCGTTTTTTTTCAACGTAAAACTAATATCACACAATGAGGGGGAATTTAGCTGCTATTTATTAGGTCAAAAGTTCAGATATCAGAGAGCATTTTTTTAAATCAAAGGTATCACTAGCCAGTTTAAAATACCCTTAAAATACTGACCATACATATACTGTACATACGATACAAGGGTGCCTGAAAGTGAGAATATATGTAGAATTCTGGTTTTCAACGGGACTTGACCCTCATATAACGCAAGACAGGTGGACTGATGATCCCCTCTGAGATGCTATCTCTCCTTTGCTACACTATCATGTAATGGTATATTTGACGCCGAATAAAGTGTTGTTGACCCACTGAAGAACTCCTGTGTTTGAGGAGACAGATAGCCCAACTAAACAGCCCGGGATACAATGTTACATATGATTGGATTAAAGTAGTTTGATACAAAAGTAGGTCCAATTTTTTGTTATCAGATTTTACGAGGATAGAGCATTAGGATTTTACTGGAAATGTACATGTATATCGGAATGTAAACATTTTGAAGGTGAAAGATCTAGTCAATAAAACATTATGTGTATGATTAATGTGCAAGGGTGTCAATCTGTCTATAGATATTTATAGATTTTGAAGTCTGGTATTAAGCATGCTGTCTTGTAGTTGTTGTCTCTTATATTTGTTCAGAGTGCTCATGCTGCAATTTGAAATATATACCCTAAAGTGCTAGGCGCGTATACCAATGTGCCAAGCGAATATATCGCTTTATCACCATATCGCAGTATTGCTGTTTCGCCATGTCGCGTAACCATTTCGCATTATGTCAATTTCACCTGTCGCACTATTGCTATATCGCAATATGACCGTTTCTTGTTATCGCAATTTCATGTTGTGTTATCGCAATTTCGTGTCGTTTTATCACCATGTCGTGTCTTGCCATGTCGTTGTCGCCATGTCGTGTCGCGTTTTCGCAATATCCTGTCATACTATCGCTTTTTTGCGATACCGCTTAGATTTTTCTGGGCGATAAAGCGATGGCCCGAATCAGCCACCATAAGTAATGCTATGATGTTGAAAAATGTATTTATTGCTTTTGAATAAATGTGAAATGTGTATAATAGAACTTGATCGCATTACTGTTTGGCTGAAATAATGCTGACGCGACGTCATCAAATTTGAACTTACCCTCACATATGAGGAGCTGATTAAAAACTTACCCATATGTATGTGCTTCAACTGACAGGCATTATATATTGTGTTCAGAGATGACGAGCTGATTAATGCTGTACTAACATGTATAAGTGGTATGATTCTGTTCAGAGACGACAGAGGCTGCAGCTGCACGAAGAACCTTGGCGTCAGGTGTTGTTAACTGCAGTGCAAAGGTGCAGGATGAAGAAACACGCAACAAATTGATGGACCTCGTGTGTTTGCACATTAAAAGGACAGAGGAACAACTAAAGAACACACTGCGTCGTGCTGACTCTAATTACCAGATATCAGCACTGGAATCGTTCTGTATATATTCACAAAATGAAGAGATGCAGCCGTATTCTGTGGGGAGTAAGTATATGTTCACAACTTTTGATTGGAGAGGATGTTCAGTTCAATCCATACCTCAATCCAGTAAAAATTGTGACATATTTAAGCAGATACTTACTGCTTGTTATGAGCATTTTATTAGTGAGGATACTTGCCGGTTTTTGGTGTGGCAACTGTGAACATTCTTATTTTCCGCATTAAGCATCTCATGTTAGAACATAAATTTTATTATGAATAACATTTCATTTCTGTGAGAACTGACAGTCAACGACTCATTATTCTTTACACATTTAACATTATGACTGAACCCATTGTTGCAGCTGATGCAGTGTCTAGGCCACCGACACCGGAGATTCTAGGGTGGGTATTTATATTACTGTTCTCCTATTACCATGGAACTAGCTCAACCTGATATTCACACGATAAACCTGTATGTACACATCTATAGTCTGGCAGAAAACGTTTCGTGACGGTGTTTGGTCACTTTACTCAAAAACTCGTTTCTACTTTGACATGATGCTGTATAATTGTTCTACCATTGTGAATTTTGAATTTCATGAATTATAGTTTAATAATATAAAAGTTGTCCACATAAGTAGCATCATGTCAAAACATAAAAACCTGTCAAGGGCATTAGGCGACTAATCGGAACAGCCATCTGGCCAGACAGATGTGCATGGTGTCACTACCAGTAAATTGACAGGTGGCTGTTCTGATTAGTACTTGTAGTTTTTAAGAGAAGTGACCAAACACAGTCACGAAACGTTTTCTGGAAGACTATAATTGTTTGTTTTCTTTGTACGATAAACTTTGGCAGTTCATCTGATTGTATTTGAAAGGAATTTAATACCGTGGGTAACATTCCATTCCCAAGACAGACGACATGATTGTGAGTGGTATGAACAGGACATTTAGTGTAACTAAAGAACACTACGTTCACATGCATGATTTAATTGTTCCTGTACGCATACTTATATAAAACAAATATGCAAACTCTAATCTGTTCACACGTATTTGTTTGTGATGTGTTCCACAATATTCCCGTCATATGGCTTACAAAATAAATCTTGAGTATCATGTTTGTCTTCCAGCTTCAAAGATAGCACAGTGCAACAGGATCTTCATTCACAATATACCGATTCTCATGCATCAAAATCCAGTAATCGCAGGCTAATGGCGAAAATAGAAGAAGCACTGTATGAAGAATATCCTCTTGAACATTTTGATCACACGGCACCTTCACAGAGCGCAATGAAGGGCGAAGCAACGTGCATATCCTCTGCTCGACTTGACAGAGCAACATTTAGTCATTCAGAGGGAACAATGCATAACATAAACACAGGCGATTGGAGAGCAAGAAAAGGGATCAAAGATCAAACTCACCTGCATAAATGGCTGGATATGTCACAATTACTGCTTGCCAAAACAAACTTAGAGACTTCTTCGCATATATTAACAGAAGATCAACCAACACATTGGAGCGATACAACCTATCCAAACAGGATCAGTCGTTCAGATTCAAAAGGCACACATCAAGTAAAACAATCATCCTCAAAGCAAATCAGACGTAGTCGTTTGACTGATTCACACAACACAAACACAAGTGAACAAAGGCCAAGTCCCTCTCACCAACACAGGAACCCTGTCAATACTTCATACATCACTAAACAAGATACACTAACAAGACACGAAAGCACAAACGCAAGTGAACAAAGGCCCAGTCCCTCTTGCCAACACGGGGACCCTGTCAATACTTCATACATCACTAACCAAGATACACTAACAAGACACGAAAGCACAAACGCAAGTGAACAAAGGCCCAGTCCCTCCTACCAACACGGGGACCCTGTCAATACTTCATACATCACTAAACAAGATACACCAACAAGACACGAAAGCACAAACGCAAGTGAACAAATGCCCAGTCCCTCCTACCAACACGGGGACCCTGTCAATACTTCATACATCACTAACCAAGATACATCAACAAGACACGAAAGCACAAACGCAAGTGAACAAAGGCCCAGTCCTTCCCACCAACACAGGGACCCTGCCAATCCTTCATACATCACTAACCAAGATACACCAACAAAACACGAAAGCACAAACGCAAGTGAACAAAGGCCCAGTCCCTCTTACCAACACAGGGACCCTGTCAATACCTCATACATCACTAACCAAGATACACCAACAAGAGGCAAAAGCACACACGCAAGTGAACAAAGGCCCAGTCCCTCCCACCAACACGGGGACCCTGTCAATACTTCATACATCACTAACCAAGATACACCAACAAGACACGAAAGCACAAACGCAAGTGAACAAATGCCCAGTCCCTCTTACCAACACAGGGACCCTGTCAATACTTCATACATCACTAACAAAGATACACTAACAAGACACGAAAGCACAAACGCAAGTGAACAAAGGCCCGGTCTCTCCTACCAACACGGGGACCCTGTCAATACTTCATACATCACTAACCAAGAAACACAAACTAGACACGAAAGCACAAACGCAAGTGAACAAAGGCCCAGTCCATCCTACCAACACGGGGACCCTGTCAATACTTCATACATCACTAACCAAGAAACACAAACTAGACACGAAAGCACAAACGCAAGTGAAAAAATGCCCAGTCCCTCCTACCAACACAGGGACCCTGTCAATACTTCATACATCACTAAACAAGATACACCAACAAGACACGAAAGCACAAACGCAAGTGAACAAATGCCCAGTCCCTCCTACCAACACGGGGACCCTGTCAATACTTCATACATCACTAACCAAGATACATCAACAAGACACGAAAGCACAAACGCAAGTGAACAAAGGCCCAGTCCTTCCCACCAACACAGGGACCCTGCCAATCCTTCATACATCACTAACCAAGATACACCAACAAGACACGAAAGCACAAACGCAAGTGAACAAAGGCCCAGTCCCTCTTACCAACACAGGGACCCTGTCAATACCTCATACATCACTAACCAAGATACACCAACAAGAGGCAAAAGCACACACGCAAGTGAACAAAGGCCCAGTCCCTCCCACCAACACGGGGACCCTGTCAATACTTCATACATCACTAACCAAGATACACCAACAAGACACGAAAGCACAAACGCAAGTGAACAAATGCCCAGTCCCTCCTACCAACACAGGGACCCTGTCAATACTTCATACATCACTAACAAAGATACACTAACAAGACACGAAAGCACAAACGCAAGTGAACAAAGGCCCGGTCTCTCCTACCAACACGGGGACCCTGTCAATACTTCATACATCACTAACCAAGAAACACAAACTAGACACGAAAGCACAAACGCAAGTGAACAAATGCCCAGTCCCTCCTACCAACACGGGGACCCTGTCAATACTTCATACATCACTAACAAAGATACACTAACAAGACACGAAAGCACAAACGCAAGTGAACAAAGGCCCGGTCTCTCCTACCAACACAGGGACCCTGTCAATACTTCATACATCACTAACCAAGATACACCAACAAGACACGAAAGCACAAACGCAAGTGAACAAAGGCCCAGTCCCTCTTACCAACACAGGGACCCTGTCAATACCTCATACATCACTAACCAAGATACACCAACAAGAGGCAAAAGCACACACACAAGTGAACAAAGGCCCAGTCCCTCCCACCAACACAGGGACCCTGTCAATACTTCATACATCACTAACCAAGATACACCAACAAGACACGAAAGCACAAACGCAAGTGAACAAATGCCCAGTCCCTCTTACCAACACAGGGACCCTGTCAATACTTCATACATCACTAACAAAGATACACTAACAAGACACGAAAGCACAAACGCAAGTGAACAAAGGCCCGGTCTCTCCTACCAACACGGGGACCCTGTCAATACTTCATACATCACTAACCAAGATACACCAACAAGACACGAAAGCACAAACGCAAGTGAACAAAGGCCCAGTCCCTCTTACCAACACAGGGACCCTGTCAATACCTCATACATCACTAACCAAGATACACCAACAAGAGGCAAAAGCACACACGCAAGTGAACAAAGGCCCAGTCCCTCCCACCAACACGGGGATCCTGTCAATACTTCATACATCACTAACCAAGATACACCAACAAAACACGAAAGCACAAACGCAAGTGAACAAATGCCCAGTCCCTCTTACCAACACAGGGACCCTGTCAATACTTCATACATCACTAACAAAGATACACTAACAAGACACGAAAGCACAAACGCAAAAGTGAACAAAGGCCCGGTCTCTCCTACCAAAGACACGGGGACCCTGTCAATACTTCATACATCACTAACCAAGAAACACAAACTAGACACGAAAGCACAAACGCAAGTGAACAAATGCCCAGTCCCTCCTACCAACACGGGGACCCTGTCAATACTTCATACATCACTAACCAAGAAACACAAACTAGACACGAAAGCACAAACGCAAGTGAAAAAATGCCCAATCCCTCTTACCAACACAGGGACCCTGTCAATACTTCATACATCACTAACCAAGATACACCAACAAGACACGAAAGCACACACGCAAGTGAACAAAGGCCCAGTCCCTCTTACCAACACGGGGACCCTGTCAATACTTCATACATCACTAACCAAGAAACACAAACTAGACACGAAAGCACAAACGCAAGTGATCAAATGCCCAGTCCCTCCTACCAACACAGGGACCCTGTCAATACTTCATACATCACTAACCAAGATACACCAACAAGACACGAAAGCACAAACGCAAGTGAACAAAGGCCCAGTCCCTCCCACCAACACAGGGACCCTGCCAATACTTCATACATCACTAACCAAGATACACTAACAAGACACGAAAGCACAAACGCAAGTGAACAAAGGCCCAGTCCCTCCCACCAACACAGGGACCCTGCCAATACTTCATACAGCACTAACCAAGAAACACAAACTAGACACAAAATTTTCCCGAAACACAACCGAAATGCTGGCAATAAACCACAAATAAAACAAAAAAGAGGCCAATCATCCCGTGGGTTTGTGGATGAATCACACCTCACAAACCAAGGAGAACCAAAAGCTATAGAAGACAGCACTGTGAAAAGTCCGAGATTAGACGCCCTCAGTACCATACCAAAAGGTATTGTTAAAAGAGGGAGTATAGCTTTTAAATGACCTCACTACCTGTTGTCCATAATGGTCATGTTGTGCAAAAGCCAACAGAATTGGTTGACAGAGTTGCCTGTTAGAGTTCCACCTCAGTCTGGATGGATTGTCATTTTTTTTATATCATTGGTTTGACTGGCAAAGGGATGTATTTTTACAGGCTGTCGTATTATAACCCTGTCGACCTCAGACACACCAACTGACGATTCTGCATGGTCATGACATTGATGTGGGGGAAACGTTCCAATTTCCAAGTCACATTGCATTCCAGGCATACACCAACATAAACATAAACTGTTGATCTATTGAATGCCATATTTTACTCACTCACTTGTTTGTAATACAACGAGGAATAGAATTAAATTGATAACAGTGATATGAGTTCTGGAGAAGATATGGTGTATGTGAGGGATCAATCATCCTAAGGTGAACAACTGCCAATATAGAACAAACGTTTCCTTAGGCATCAAAGATGTGCACGGCAGTTAGCTGGCAAAGCAGACAACCAACAGAAGTTTCAGAAATTGCCAACCGGAATGATCCAAGTCCTTCTCATTACAGTACCAATGCTGAGACATGCCATGATCAAATAGGCAGAAATAAGAATTCAACTGATAACCAGTGAAATGATTTCTGGACAAGATATGGTGTATATGAGGGTGAATCGTGTAACATTTTCGAACTGGATGTCCATTTCCTCGAGTGTTTCAGGTGATAAGGACGAATATACAAGGAACAAAATGGACAAAGCAAGACTGTGCTGTATTAACGTTAAACAAGAAAGTATATACACACGATTGTATTAGCAACAGTACAAAACCAACAATAACCACTTTTAGTTTGACCCGATGATCTGCAAGCAGCAGCGACATAGTTGCAGCACGTATATCTGAGAATGAATAGAACGAAAAGAACATTGTGCATTGTGCAGTTCTGACCATGTAGTAAGCATGTGTTTATGAACGTACTATATAAGCACCGGCTGTTTCCAGAAAACAAGAAACAGAATAGTAAACAAAGGATTCATAAGGGAGAGACTTTATGGATGTCAACTTCCTTATCACAAAGATAACAAAGGTGTGGATTATGTCCGTATGTGTGTCCCTTCTGTGTGACATGTTTATGCATGGAACCTTCATGTGGGACCAGAAATAAGCCGTCTGGTTCAGTGTTTCCTCTCTAAGGTGTCACCAAGCGCAACATGTTAACATGCACATTTGAACTTTATCATAGAAACAGAAGCCACATTAAAGCTGCAACAACATCAAGGTAATCTGAGGGGACATTTTGATGCAGGATGCAACTCGCCACACAAATATTCAAAAGACGTTACCAGACCACCAAGAGTACTTTTGCTATTACATAAACAGAACATTTTAAGTTCGTGTAGTTAGTTCTATATGCCCAGAGAATTGTTGTATCATTATGATGACCCGTGAAGATCCAGGTTAGAATTGGTCTTCAGCTACCCATGCTTGTCGTAAGAGGCGACTAACGGGATCGGTTGGTCAGGTTCGCTGACTTGATTGACACATGTCATCGTATTCCATTTCTGTATATGGAATCGATGCTCATGATGTTCATCAGTGGATTGTCTGGTCCAGATTTGATTATTTACAGACCGCCGCAATATAACTGGAATGTAGCCGAGTTATGTTATAATCTATTATGTCAGAGGTGGGACACCCAAGAAAACATCCAACATAAAGAGTTGGTCACATCTACTTGGTTTGTCAGTCAAGACAGTGATCTGACACCAGGTCGAAGAAACAATCTTGTCACTGTCCAGTCCTCTTAACCCCCTACTCGTCATCGTCCCATGATCTTAACGCCTCCCTACTCGTTACTGTCAAGTGCTCTTAATGACTCCCTACTCGTCACTGGCCTGTGCTCTTAACACCCCCCTACTCGTCACTGGCCTGTGCTCTTAACACCCCCCTACTCGTCACTGTCCAGTGTTCTTAAAGCCCCTTACTTGTCACTGTCCAGTGCCTTTAAAATAAACCTCCCCTACTCGTCACTGTCCAGTGCTCTTAAAGCCCCCCTCCATTACTCCTAACGCATCCTTCTCGTCGCTGTCTAGTGCCCTTAATGCCCCCCCCCCCTACTCGTCACTGTCTAGTGCTCTTAAAGCCCCCCTTCCCTACTCGTCACTGTCCTGTGCTCTTTGCTCTTAACCCTTTCATTTTCTCCAGCAATGAATTCTTATGCTTTTATCATGCGATAATAATGATGTTACATGTTGAAAATGTTTTAGTGACCTACAATGTCATGCAAATGGATTATCTGACTCCTTGCTGTGGTTTTCTTATTTTAACTGTTTGTTGCGTCCTCTGAAACTATATGACTTATGAAGCTGAAACCTTCGATGAATGATCTAATTGCGTCGGTACAGATATGTACAGCAGGTACGTTTCTGTAAACAGAAATGTACCCTGAAGAAAGTCAAAGTACAGAAACGTACCCGGTACTCTAATCGTCCATGTTATGCAACCCCAAACCGAAACTGTATGTAGTATTTATAATGCTGTGCCCGTTCAACTGATTGCGAGAACTGTTGTCCAACGAGAAATATTCGTTTCTGTGTGTGCTTGTTCCTTATATAACGCATTAGGTGTAGTGAGTACTGGATTAGATGAAGTTCAAAATATTCTATTTGCCATAACATTACTTATTCCAAAAATGTTTCGTTTTTTCCTTTTGCTGTGAACCTTTTATTTAAGAGTTTTTCAATGTAGGTGTTTCTTCCAAAATATGGGTGATTTGTCTTAAAGTGAATTCTTCTTAAGTCTCGTAATCTACAGAGCCTTGGTGCTCTAAATAGTATGTGATTGTGGCTGTTCGTGTAGAACTTGTATATTACGATCCAAAACTGTGTTCACTGGTGATATTGCTTGTATTGCCGTAGATTTTGTACAATGCCCTGACGTCATCAATTACATGATTCAAAATGATATGACGTCTTAAACTTGTTGAATTCACAATGCTATGACATCGCTACACTGCACGTCTAAGAGATATACATTTTATCACTTAAAACTAATGAAAAGTATTTTTTGATGATAAATAGAATCTCACCCTCGTGTTATCTGATATCAAATATATCAACACTCATTGACAAAAATAGAAAGGTGTAACTTTATCAACTCGTGTTAATATAATTGATATCAGTAGACACTTAGGTTCGACTACTATTCATGGCAATGTATATACAGGGATTTTTATTAAAGTATATCCATTAATATGGCTTTGCTTTATCATTCACCAAAACATACCCCGATTGCAAAATACCAGTGTATCAAGTTGGTCGAGGGCCTCTACTGGGGAATGGATGAAAAAATATAGGACCCGTGAAGATCTGGTTTAGAATTGGTCCCCCCACGCTGGTCATAAGGCGCGACTAACGGGATCGGGTAGTCAGACTCGCTGACTTGTTTGACAGGTCGTCGTATCCGAATGCGTAGATCGATGCTCATGATGTTGATCACTTGATTGTCTGGTCCAGACACAATTATTTACAGACTGTCACCGTACAGCTGGAATATTGCTCAGTTCAGCGTTAAGCAACAAACACACTAAACAAGACGTTGAAAAACATGTTTGAGCCAAACAAAACAACAAAATTATTTGTTTCCTATTTGCGATGGTTGTAAAAGTAAATAATCTCCCACAGTGAATCTAACTGAATGTATTTGCTTTTTAGTTGTTAATAGTTTGGACTTTTTAATTGGATCATGTAACACACCATGTGTAGACAAATGGATTCCGGACAGTATGCTGTTTATACAACTGAGGGAGAGAATCACTGAATATAGCTTATTGTTTGATGTTAAACGCTGTCCTCAACAATATTCCAGTTACTGACAGTGACTTGTAAATGATCTGTTCTGATTCAGGAAATCCACTGATTGACATCGCAACATGGAATATCGTTTATTGCCAAAAAATAATATGAGGAAAAAGTATGAATATTACTCATTTAGTCTTTGTACCTAAAGTGTGTGTGTGTGTGGTGTGGGTGGTGGTGGTGGTGGTGTGTGTGTGTGTGTGTGTGTGTGTGCGTGCGTGTGTGTGCGTGTGTTTTGCAGGCTTGGTCCTGCTCAGTATGTCCATACGACGTGGACGTGGAATTTTAACACGCACTCACTCACACACTCACTTTAGGTACAAAGACTAAATGAGTAATATTCATACTTTTTCCTCATATTATTTTTTTGGCATAACATTTTCCAGATAAACTTCGACATAGAAATGTCATTGATAATTGCAAAACCAACTGTACAGATATCATCAATTACTTATTTATATGCAAATTACAGCAAGAGCTTGACAAAGGTTATTTTCTGTAGGTACTTAGAACATAACTAACGTCAAATATGTAGTGAGTGGGTGAGATAAGTTCTACCACAATATTAACAATATTCAAGCAATATCATGGCATGGGACACCAGAAATGGGCTTCCCACAATGTGCTCATGTGGGGTGACGAGTGAATGCTTCAAGCAAAAGGCTACCCCACCGCGCTGTCAAAATATGCCACACAGTCATATCGATCCCAGGTTTCAAGTAATGTATATAGTGTACAGACCTGACCTCTCCCTCATACATGCACACATCTAATCAGGCATAACACTGTACAACTTCTACTGGAAGGGAGACAACTCTATCCAGATTTCATGTCATAGTATATTCACGGGTTTATTTACATAATACGTTTTGCAAAATTGAGTTGAGTTGAGTTGAGTTGTTTTGGGATTTTACGTCGCATCAGCATTATTTGAGCCATATGGTGACAAGATCAAGTCTGCACACATGGACATTTTAGGTACAAAGCTTAAATGATTTAAGCTTTTAAAAGCATATTTGATAATTACATTATTATTTACAAACACAAAATGTCATAGCACCAACTTTTAAAAAAATACAACCCTCAACAGCATGAAATAAGTCATTTGCTTTACAGGGTTACAATTTATGGTACAAGTCAACTTCCCTCAAGTAGTTAACAATGAGATGTCCGCTCGCGCGGGAAAATAGATCTATCAGATTTCTCGCTTCATAGTGCGAATCCCTTGCAGTCGAATAGTCCACACAGTCAAGCAGAATATGCTTCATGGTGAACACTTCGTCGCAAAAGACACACATGGGAGGTCCATCTCCATCTGTTTTGAGCAGATAGTCATGAATAAACCGACTGTGGCCAATACGACATCGTCTTAAAATTACCTCAACACGTCTTGACTGACAACGCAAGATGTATAACCAATTGTTGTCTTCAGTTCATGAATTTTATTTCTTTCTACTTTGATGTCCCACCTTTTTCTGCATAAGGTCCCGAGTATAACTTTTGATGGTGGGTTTGAAATCACTGTATGGGATCAGCAGTGGAGATACGGGCTTGTCAAGAGCTGCTTTAGCTCCAGCATCGGCCTTTGTGTTACCTCTGGTATAAACGGAAACCCCCTGTTATACGTCCGTGGAAAAAATATGTTCACAAGAGCTTATCTCTAATTTTATTTCTCTCAACATTACTGGTGGTGATTTAATTACGCACTGGGCCATCACGTAGCATATTATTAATCATTAGTCTGGAAATATATAGCTAGTCGCTAGGAATATGCACTCGCATACTCGTTCACGTGACTTCATAGCAGACGAGATAGCGGCGACACGCCGACAGGTAAGAAAGTGGGCCTCGGCTCTCGTGATTCTACCAGCTTATTATTGTCTCTAAAACTTCACCTGTTTTCAAATGTGCATTGCGGGGTAATGTTCATTGCAAGTATCTTTAGAGAAAACAAATTAGAGATTGACATTATTTAATAACCACGAAGTATCGCGTCAACATCAGTGTATGGCATGGACCTGGTCATAGGTCGATGATGATGGCTACTGCTGGATGAAATGCCTTGCAGTGATGGCCGAATTGTGCTTGTAAACACATTTCCTCGAAGCTGATGTGCCCGCGTTATTAGCTGATGTTGATAAGAGAATGTTGACCCGTTTGTACTTTGAGTAGTAAATATTTTAGGGGCGTTGGTAGCCTAATGGTTAATGCGTTCGCTCGTCACGATGAAGACCCGGTTTCAATTCCCCACATGGGTACAATGTGTGAAGCCCATGGTGTCCGTCCCCCGCCGTGATATTGTGACAATATGCTAAAAGCGGTGTAAAATCCAAACTGAGTCACTCGCTGTGTATTTATGAAATTAGCCTTTACGCATCTGCGACCATATTATCTCTGTGGGAAACAAAATGGTAGATGAAAGACCCGGGTGCGAATTACCCACATGTGTTCAATATGTGAAGTCCATTTTTGGTGTGCCCCGCCGTGATATTGCTGGAATATTGCTCAAAGCGGTGTAAAACTAATCTCACTCACTCATTCACACTGTGACATGCTTGATAACAAATACAACAATGCATTCCGCCTGTAAAACGTGTTCGGCTGATTGCTGTTCCGGCTTTTTTTCCTTGATTCCTTTTGGGACAAAACTTTATTACATTACAATAGTTATGTAAGA